TTATACTTTAGAAACAACTCAAGAGTTCAGTGTGTTTCTATAGCCTCTATTTTTAAAGTTAACAATCATATGATAAAATACACATTAGAATAAACTTCGACAAATGTATTTACATCTATAACCTAAATCCAGATGTCCAATATTCAATTCATATGAGCAGAATACTAGGACAATGCTGTTGTAAAGGGCATCAATTTTCAATTTAAAAAAAGAATTTCATGAAATAAACTTTCATAGGGACCATGGTTAATAACATAATGCATATAGTCATGTGCTACATAATGACATTACAATAAATTTATAAGGACCCATATAACAGGGATCCCATCAAATTATTAATTGGATTGAAAACACTCTTATTGCCTAATCACAGTGCTTTTAACATGGTTACATAATACATTTAATATTTATCCTGAGTTTGTTGATAACAAAAACTAGCTTGTCTACAGCTGTAAAAACATACAGTATATAAAATTATGTTCCACATGTAATAATTGATAATAGGCAATTACTTTCTTTATATACTTAAAATACTATGCCTTATCATCAGAGGATACACTTCCACATTAAAAAAGAAGAAGAAAAGAAAAGAAAAAAGTCTACTGTGAAACAGCACATGTCAACCTGAGCCTCAGATATCGCTTCATCAAGAGATTATGGCCCAGCAATTGGCTAATATCATCCAGGTTTGCAGCCACTCTATACACTTACACAATTGTGAAACTGCATTTGGATATTTCTTAGAATGTGTCTCCACTGTTAAATGATGTATGGATGGCACTCGAAAAATGCAGATACTAAATTGTAAGTGTAGCTGTTATCCAAAGAAGTTATAAGAATGGACATAGTCACTTCGTAGTATATACATATACCAACACATGCTACATACAATAAATGTCTACAATTTTAGTTACAAAATATGCTTATTTTTACAAAAAAAGAAAAAACCCTAACATTTCATTTAATTTAGACGTTCTTGTCTACTGGTCCTTGATTTGAACATAAGGTCAAAGGCACACAACATTTCCACCATCTCAGTGGGTTTCAACATAGCAGGCATTGATCTGAAAATAAGGTCTATCTCCAAAGTTCATGATCTTTTGACAGCCTTAGGCTACTTGCTTTTTAAAGGCCCACATGTATTTTTTTGAATTAAGAATTTCTCTCTAGCCATCAATTGTCAGGTAACTGAAACACAGAAATACTAAAGAAATAAAGAAGGTATTACCAATGCCCTTTACAAAGGAAAGACAAATATTTAATATCTGTAACAAGATGAGAATATACTATCTACCCAGTTGACATTCACCAAATTAAGAAAAACTACTTCCCATGAGTTCAAGAGTCTACCCACGAACATGGATATAGTCATAAAAGTAATTTTGTATATTCATCTCCTGTATCTTTAATTAAACTTACAGATGCTTTGGAACCATGATCACTTCTTGGGCATATGAATCAAACACTAGATTGAATGCTATATTAATTAGTAGCTGTTTAAGAAGTAAAGAATTGGAGAAAAAACATAAGTCTAAGAATCAGCACAATCTGGGCTCTAGTCTCTTCATACCTAACAAGCTATGTAACATATACATCAGCTAATTCTTTTAAGCGTTAAATTCATCAGCTCAGAATTAAGTCTTATATTTTATTTTCAATATCAAATTTTAAACAAATGACCTATATCCAGACCCAGGCATGGCAGGCTCTCCTTCTGTATTTCATGATTTAGAGGAAACTACTCTGACCCTATTCTAGACATATTCAGGGTGAAAGGACCCTCAAAGACAAAGCACATGCATTCCACAAGCTTAACCCATATGCCTACGTATAAGTATATGTATAAGTATATGTATATGTGTCTATTTAGAACTAAAATATAGGAATTTTGACCTCTATAGTGGGAAAGGACCTACTTCCTAGTTCTTACTTCCTGAGAGAGTACGGATATAATCTAATTGTGAGAATGGGGATAGAGAAGTATATACTAAACACCTATAAATGTATAAAAGCATTTCCAATTACAGAATACAGTATGGGATAATAAGAGACTAGTTAAGACTTGGGATGGCCCATGTAGACATTTTCTGCCATATAACTCTGAGGAGTCCAAGAATCCAGTTTAAAATCGACTCTCTTGTCCCTAAGAAAATCTGTCAAAGTGGGAAGATGAACCATATTTTATATAACTATATCATTTACACACATGTGCTTCATGGATGTGCATACTTACTAAAGACCCTGCAAAATATTAAAAGTGGCTTTTTCTATAGCTAGTACTAAAACCTGGTGTATATATAGCATTTGCCACACTTAGGTATCACACTTAATCATGTAACAAAGCATTAGGTTTCAATATAGCAACTACTCAGAGAGAGAGAGACGTAGGTAACTTAGCCAGAGCTGCTTCCTTTACCTCTATACTACTCTCCCCTCCCAAGTATCCTGGCATTCTACTCCACCACAGCATTAACTCTGTACTCGCTAAAATGGGTGCACTTAATCCCAGATCCTTATTCTCTGTGACTTCTCTTTAGCACCAGTCAACAATCTTTCTTAGAAATGTTTCCTCTTTTGGCTTCTATGACTATACTAATCCAGTTCTTCTTCCTGCTTTTTGTTCCTAGGCTCCTGTTTCTCAGAGTTGTTCTGAAAGATAAATAAGATACTGTTTTTGGGCACTGTCAAAACTCCACAAAAACATATGTTTAATAAACATTAAATATTTTTGTCTTAGTGGAGATAAAAGAACAGCAACTATTTTCAGCACCATGCCAGCTATTACACAAGGGAAGCCAGACATAATCTGTGTAAGAAATCTAGTTTTAATATGACTGTGTTGTATGATCATGGGCAAGTCGTTTTGTTTCGCTGAGTTTGTGCTTCTCATGTGAGTTACAGTTCTGTAGGAGGAGCTAAGGTGGGAAGAGTGAGGAGAGGAAGAGGAGGAGTTGGGAGAGGAACAGAAAAAAGGAAGAGGAGGAGCTAGAGAGGGCAATGTAGGAGGATGGAGAACCACACAGGTATGGAGAGCACTTGTGGGGAACAACTTATAAACTTTTAATTAGGTTAGCTAACTGGGATGCAACTCTCTTTGTATGGGCATCTTGTTGTTAATCATTATCAAATATATAAAGTCTTTGATTAATCTATAAGAATTAAGAGTCTCGCCAAGCAGTGGTGGTGCACGCCTTTAATTCCAGCACTTGGGAAGCAGAGGCAGGCGGATTTCTGAGTTTGAGGCCAGCCTGGTCTACAGAGTGAGTTCCAGCACAGCCAAGGCTACACAGAGAAACCCTGTCTCAAAAAAAAAAAAAAAAAAAAG